TTGTTTTTTTTTTTTTTTCTAAGAACATGATTCAAATGCACAAGGTCATGAGTTGCATGCTATTGCTGTCAAAAAGTTATGGAAGTCAACTTCATTTTCGTTTTCATAAAACCGCAATTTATACGTGATATCATTGATCATTAATCCATCAGATATTGAAATGTCAAAGAAAGACAACACAATTAAGAAAGCTTAACGAGAATTGGCACCATATAAAACTGACGTTTTTGTGGATAAATATGCTGTTTTCGAAAGCGAGTTTTATTCAATTAACATGTTTCATTAATAATAATAGTTGTCTTTTAATAGAATATTAAATTTATTTATTTATATATTTTTATAAAACTTAGCATTTTTAAAATATATAACTAAAAATATATTTTACTAAACGCGATTAATTTTTAATTTACAAAAATACATCAACTTTAATTTTACATTATGAACATTCCATTAAAAAAAGATGTAGTTTTCTGATTTTTTAAATGAAAATCTTAGACATGATTTCGAATAATATTCTTAGATATATGCGCGCTCGTGTGCGCGTGTGTGTTTGTATATATAACAATATATGTAATCAAGTGCAATCTTATTCGTAACATTTCAAATTCTCATAATTATTTATAATAGAATATCTTTCTCCAATTATGCAATTATTTGTAAAAATAATTTAAAATTTAAGAGACATGATTATCGTTATAAAAATGTTCATCTATCGAACGCTTTCGTGAATACATATCTTTTTTATAGGTTTTTTTTCGCATCCAAGTAGCAACTAACAGCTAACTAACAGCTTAGCTATATGTACCTTAGGCGGCTTTAGTGCAACTCGACACAAGCTTGCATCAGCAATCGTGAACATACAGGAGATTGGTGCATTATACACCATGATGTAATATTCATGATACGAAGCATAAGAAATGTATGCTGCAATTTAGAACAAACTTGTGGCATAAATAATTTCAAATTGTATAGACATGGTTTGGTATAGTATACAAATTACATAAACAATAAGTTATCTAATTGGACTTTCTATAAAAATACTTACCCAAATAAAGTTAGAAACATGTAATTCGCAAATTTTATAATTTTATTGTCACAGGTCATGCTTTTATTATAATTATTTTAACAGTTATTATTTATAATTGAAGAATTTGGAAATTTTTTACTATGGTATTATTAATATCATTATAAGGAGTTCCTGATCCAATATACTTTCGAATAAATAATGTAATATATTGACTTTTTCTCCTTCAATTTTATTATTCATTGCGAGATATAAAATTAAGTAGATCGATGAACCGATGTTAAGTATTTAAAAAAAAAAAAGAATTTGAATTGGAAATATGTGATTAGAGTTGACTTGCTTACTGTTTATATTCTTACATCACTTGTTTTTTATGCGTGATAGTTTAACATTTTGCAATGCAATTCAAATCTTATAATGAAATTGTGTAATTAAAGGAAATAAATCGACAGAGATATGTGTGTGTAATGTGTCATATCTTCTCTAACTTGATTATCGAGAGCGTAGAATTTATTCATGGCTTAACAGGTTGTAATATATTACAACCGCGTGATGCAATAACGCCTTATTATGAACATAGTGTGTTGCTACCGTGCATATACGATGTGAAGTTTTTGGGAAAAAAATGTTTCAAGTACACTAGACAGGTTTGCTGCAGCACACGTATAAATAGGCTTACATTTTAGAGCAGAGCATTCAATTCAATCCTCGTGCTTCAACGAGAAATAGAAAAACAGGACAACCATGTTCAAAGTAAGTTTGAAGCAAAAATTTATTCAAGATTATTATATTTGCATAATACATATTAATCAATTTGTGAAAATTGACAGAAGTGATGAAATTAATATTTATGATTGTAGATTATATCAAATTTTTAGAATTGTCATTATACTACCATTTATATTAATAACATGATAAAAGAAATGATAAATTCTTTTTCTCTTTCCCGTGCAACCATTGCTAACATTTTAATTCTAATAAGAAAGAATATGATTTTCAATAAGATTTAGCATTTTTCTAATATATAAAAACTAGGTATATACGACACACAAATAGAAAACAAAGCAAATTTAAATATTTGTTAATATATTATTAATTGAAAATTTAAAGTTTCAAAAACCAATCAGTTTTTTTAAATGTTGCAGTTCTTAGTATTCTGTGGTTACCTTTTGGCCCTCGCAAATGGCGTCTTCGGCGGCCTGATTTCAGCACCCGCACCTGCGGCTGCATGGGCAATTGCACCAACGCCTATTGCCTTAAAATCAGCTCCATTGGCAATTGCACCAGCGCCTATTGCCTTAAAAGCACCTACATTGACAATTGCACCAGCGCCTATTGCCTTAAAACCAGCTACATTGACAATTGCACCAGCGCCTATTGCCTTAAAACCAGCTACATTGACAATTGCACCAGCGCCTATTGCCTTAAAACCAGCTACATTGACAATTGCACCAACGCCTATTGCCTTAAAATCAGCTCCATTGGCAATTGCACCAGCGCCTATTGCCGCTGCTCCCATTCTAAAAGGTACTTATTGCGCATTTTAACAATTCCGGAACCAAACTATAACGGAACCCAATTCTATTCGCGAACTTCTCACGAGTGATAAATTTGTACAAAAATAGTTTTTCATTTTCAAGTGGTTTGTACATTAACAACTCTCTCACGAATGTAAATATATTCGTGTTACTTTTAGAGAACTTATAGTTTTAAATAATAAAAAAATCGAAAATATGAGTCTAATCATTATGAAAAAATATGGTACGATGTGATTAACACTCGCTAAATCTGCAGCAGCACCATGGGCCATCGCATCCGCTCCCGCCGCTCAATGGGCCATCGCCCAACCCGCAGCACCTTTGGGACTTAAATGGGGCTAAATCACTAAATCATACTTTGAAAGAGATACAAGACATCGCACTTTCTCCAGCAATTACACATACATCACAAAATGTACTATCGTCAATTCCTTGTTAGATCTTGCATTTCTTAAAATTAAGAATCACTAAATATATTGTTTTAAAATGTCACTCTTTCTCACTAAATATTTTATAAATTATTGACGTCGAACGTCAAAAGCGGAACCAATAATAAAATTTTGTACAAAAAAGAAATATAAAATTTGTTTTATTTTCTAGAAAATATTTAGCACCTTCATTAAATATAAATCAAACTCTTCCCGAAGTGTAATGAGATGCACCCATTTCTTACACACTGCGGCGTGTTGTAGCGTGATTGCAACTGACTCGATGAAATTGACTCGAAGAGATAGATTTGTAGATAGGTTGTTAAAAGTAAGCAATTTCTTTGTGAAGAACAGGTAATTTTTATTGCGTTTTTATCGATGTGCAATGATCATCAATTGATTGCGTACATACTTACAAGAGTTAAATAAGTGTTAGCTTAAATAAATACGAAAGTAAACATATACGTGTCACATTAAGAGATCCAGTAATCGATTTAATAGGCGTAAGCAATTCCAATCGGGCTGCTGTAGCTCATGTGAGAGACTTCAACGGCTGGAGAATAAGCGACTCCAAGAGCAGCCGGAGCGCGTACGGCCGCGGTGTACGCTAATGGGGTAGCTGGATGAGCGAGTTGCGCGTAAGTAAGAGCTGGATTGCTTACGCGAATATCAGTTTTGCTCGAACTGGAGAACGGCGTGTCGATGGTCTTCGTTTGCGTCGCTATTTGCGCCAAATTGCCATGACTGCGCAATATATTATCGGATGTCGACGTGATAGCGTGGGGTTGAACGTGCGCTATCGGTGCAATTTGATATTGCAAAGCGGAGGGCATTCCGATGTAGCCGGCATTGGCCGCGGCCAAAGCGCAAATAAATACGAACATCTGCAAATAAAAGTTATTAGTTTAAGAATTTAATCTTTATTCGTATGTTTGATGGAAAAAAATATAATTTATCACTATTGATTGTACTTAACATACCTTAGCTGCCATTATATCAGGCGGATATCCTAAGATAACTTTGTCGTATCTGTGCTGAAATACGAATGTTTCTGTCGATGGCAATCGGTACTTTTATACTTGACGGACAAACCTTGAAAAACGAACCCCGAAATCTTTCAATGTGCACAGTTTCTTCGCTATGGTGGGAGGTAGTGTCAAGGATAAATTTCAAGGATATTGCGCCATTATCGAACGATTTGCTCCCTATTAAATGTGCCATTCCATAACAATGTTGTGAATATTATGACAATATTGAAAATTGTATTTTTTTAAATGTTTTGTAAAAAGTTCTTATGTGATGGATAATATAAGAGTAAAAGTACACATTCTATCGAAACTTGATGGCTTAAACAACTCATTTGTTTAATATATTATCCTTGACAAGAATACATTATCCTTGCACTAGGACTTTTGGAAGATAACACAGCAGCAATTAGATTTGAATTCACCTTTTCTTACTTTCTATAAGATTAGAACAAATTTCAATCAGTTCTAATCAGTTCAAAATAAAAGATTTTTTTTTAATTGTCCAGTAAGAAAATAAATCTAGAAGACTTATTTCTTATTATACATAGCTTTATCTTAAATTTAAATCTTAAGTCTTCAAATTTCTCGTGTCGCAATGCTTCGATATGAAATGCAATGATAAAATATGAAATCGGGATGGCAATGTAATACATTGTAAAGCATTAAATGCATATTTTATTGACTGATCGATCGGTTGCCGCACCTTCGTCTTCAAAACTGGAACATCTGGCTTCGCGCCACGCCTCTTCGAGAGCAGAAAGTAGTCTAGCCTTGTGTTCCCTCTCCAACTTTTTCTTTTGGGGCGTACCCCGATATAATTACAACGTTTTGCTCTGGATTTAAGAAACTGACATCATCGACATTGTCCGCGTTTTACTTTGTACACGGCTAACTCTTATAAAGACACCTTCGTATTTCTTTACGCAATCGTATACCCAATTTTTTTAAATGTTACTCGCATATGTTCTTGCTACGAATAATTCAAATTCATCAATATTTTCATTTACGAGTGAAATTTTGTAATAAAATAAGATTATAAATATCAAAATATATATATAAAACGTATATTCAAATATGAAAATGCAGAATTACTTTTATTTTGATTAAAGGAATATCTCAACATTTTCAAAATTATAAGCTGATAAATGAAGATTATATATATATGTATATGTCTTTTTTCTAATTACTCGCTATAGCTATACGATCCATTTTATTACTTAATTGCACTGAGCGCGCGCCATCATAGAAATCTTTTGTGCTTTTTGCACTATGTCCGGACAACGTCGTCGCCTCATTAATCTGCAATCTTGAAAAAAACCTTCATTTCTCGGAAATCCATGCGATCCGTCAGCATAGGTCACTAAACCTAAAATGATTGTATCCGTGTTATGTTAAAAGGCAAAACAAAGAGCAACATTTACATTGCTTTATTAAACAAATAAGATTTGATAATCTGTTGTTACAAGTTGATTAGATACCTAAACCCCAAACACGACCTCCACGAAACTCTCCTTCGAATTTCATTCCGTCAGCTCTCCAAAATACTCCGTGGCCATGAAACCATCCTTGCATAAACTCTCCTTCATATCTAAAAACAGAACAGAATGTAAACATTTTCGTATAAATATGTGCAATAATACGAAGAATTAATCCAGAAAGATAAAAATTTTGGAGATATTTATTAGAAAATTAAATAGAAGCATTTTTAATATACAAAATGATCCACTTAAAATATCTTGGAAGAAATGTATTATTAAAAAAATGTTATTAAACAAATTAAACAAAAGTTATTTGGTTTTAAGAAAGCAATAAACTAGTGACTTTTGATCTGACCTTGCATGGCCTCACCAAGATGAGGTCAAGGTTATCACTATTTTATCGCACATTATTGTAGTTAACTTGTGTAGAACTTAAATAAAACATCAAATTACGTTTATCTCATATTTTTTTATACTCGCATACTTGTAGAAAACAATGTATATATGTATTATAAGTGCCGCTACTCAATTTCGTAATAATCATTGTTTTATTTTTATTGCATTTATATCTTTATTTTCTAGATTACATACTTATTAAGTGAAGAGTGATGTAAACTTGCAATGTAACTTACTTTGCTCCGTCTGGAAATACAATAACTCCCAAGCCAGAGCATAATCCATTCTGAAATGCTCCTTCGTATCGTATTCCATCGGGAAAAATTAGTAAACCGGCACCGTGTTTCAATCCTTTACGATTCCAATCTCCAATATATTTCGTACCGTCGTCATATCGATATGCACCATTCTTCGCCACACCTATAAATGCACATCGATATATCATGTACGAATATTTGGTAAAAAAGTTTTATGAATTTTCTTTTCCCATGTTTTATATCTGAGATAAAAGAGACACTGTAAATACATTAAAATATTGGCTTTAAATAAGGGATATAATTCTCACCATCGCCCATGCTTGCGCTGCACTGAAGGCATCTAAGTTCTAGCTACGGTTTAGATCCATTTAATAAGATCAGTAGTTTATTCGATTAGAAGGCTATCCACAGGGATGAATAGAGATAGGAAACGCAGGATTCTCAGGAAAATATATATGAAATGGATTTCTAAATAAAGACAACTCTCTGTGTTAATTTATCCCGCAATAAGAAATTTATATTTTTTTTTCGGGGTATACAAACACAAAAATATTTATAAAATTGTATTAATCGCACTTATATAATGTTGAATTGCAATATGTCACTCCTGTGACCTGTCAGATGAACTCATTAAAAACCATCGTATTCTGGCTTGCACTGCAGCTTTTCTGACTAAACGTTTGCGATCGTCGATTATTGTACCCAATTTGTCTAATACAAGCTGCTTGTACGGATTGATTAAAATAGTAGGATAATTAGCGTAATTCGCCAAGCATTCCAGAGCCGCAATTCTAACTTTCTGTTAATGTCATAATATTAATTTACTTTTGTAATAAGATTAAGTTTTATTTTTTTAATTAAAATTGAAAGAAATAATTACCATGCTTCGAAATGTTGATAATTGCAGAAGTCTCGGTATGACACACTGTGCATTATCAGAAAATACGTCGTGTTTCGTATCAAGCAACAATTTAAGTGAGATCAATGTCCAGGTAACTAAATGCTCATCATTAAGAGATAAAGACTCGATCAACAGTGGCACCAACTAACAATACAATATGTTAATCAAAATATTATTATTTAAATGAGAAATTATTCTAATTAGGACTTATTGTTAGACAAAAGATTTGTACATTTTGCATGTTCAAACAGTTTGAAGAAAGAGAAAAAAGAATGCCAAGTTTGGACATTTCGATTACAATTCGAACAGTTTGAACATAAATGGCAATCGACCTATAATATCAATTTGTAGTATCTAAAGATTCGAACAATTTGGAAAAACAGTGAAAAAATTAATACAAAATGAATTAAAAACAGAGAAAAAGGCTTTTTGCACATGTCGATATCACATTGTCAATATTAATGTTTTTCATTTGTGACAAAATTGATTTGTGAAATATTTAATTTTTGAACCTGAAGTTAATTCGAACATATCTTCAACTGAAGACATGAACTATTTGACATTCGCGATTTCGAGAGAGATCCAAACTGTCCAAATTGCTTGATCATCAAAATTTCCATGCACTAATTTTAATTTGATAACAAACTTACCTCGGTTAAATATAAAAATAATAATTCCTCCGGTATATGTTCTAGTAAATGTACTACAACAATCAGATAATTCTGTCTCATCGAGTTTGTAAAATTAACATTTTGTTGCAATAAATGTTCGAATACTCTTTGTTTATAAAAGATTTTTACATTACAGAAATTTTCCACTATTAAAATATCTTCATGTTTGTTTACTAAAATTTGATATTGTTCACTTACATGTCGACCTAGTTCATTATGACTTAGTAAATATGTAAGCTGCAAAAACACAAAAAAAAATGAAATATATTAGTTTTATCTGTTATAATCAAAATAATTCGTATTATAACATTATATTACACATACATTCTTTAAAAAGTATCGAGACTGCTCATGTCCTCTCATGACAAGAGCTTTGGTCATCCAGATCTGAAAGTTAACTACTTGCTGCTTTGATTCAATGTCAATATTCGCTTTTAAATTATCATCTATTTTGTCTTCTAGATAAGGTACAATCGTGTCGAGATCTATTATTTCCATTTTATTCAATAAAACGGATAAAAATATACACGCCGTTTGTCTTACATCCAGATTGCAATTGCTAACAGCTAGATTATACAGATTTTCCACTGCATTATAGCTAATATTCAAATTGATGTCTTTCTTCAAAGGAATTAAAAGATTCATTAATAAATTGACATCAGTTTCCAGCATTTTTGTATTTAAAATTGTAGCGTATTTTGCTGCAATCATATATTGTTCTTTAATTGTAAGATTTCGTATGATTAACTGACAGACATTAGATATCAGCAGTTTATGATTTAGAACATTTGTTTTATACGCAATTAATTTATCAATAATGTGACATTCGTTATATAAAAACTCATGTATATTGAAATCAAATTTCTTTAAAGTAATTAACTTTTGAATATTTAATAATGCTGTAATGCATATATCAGTGCAAATATCATTTGTTAACAATGCAACAATTTTTGGAAGAATTGTATAACCTATTTCACGTATTTTTGCAATTGCTGACAACGCTTGTATTCTACGTTTCAGTAGTTTCATTTCCGTTTCATCTGGAATATTTTAATAATACATTATTATACACTTCTATTAGTGTAAGTTAATTCACCTTATCTTTCTTTCTCCGAGTGCGTGTGTTCTTACATAAACTTATTAGGTATTACTTACCTATGTTTAATGATAATCTTTCTGTAACCAACAATATTTCTTCTAAATATAATGCAGTAAAATCTATAATAGTCGTGTGACATATAATCTGCATTTCATGGCATCCTGTTTCAATTTCATTGCATATTGCATTATAACATATAGAACGTTGTACATCATTTAAGTACTTTTTTTGGATTGTTAAGCCAAGAAATATTTTACTTTTTAGTTCAATATCTTCTGCTGTCAAGCCATCTAAATATATCTGAGGTATATTTACCCATGCTAATTCTGGAACATCTAAATTAAATTTTATCTCATTAATACTTTTGCTTATATTACTTTCGCATATTATAACACAACTTACCTTGAATGCAGAAATCATAATTGGTACAAATTTTCATAAAATTATTTAAAGTTTCTATCAATATAATTTTATCGTTCACTGAACTTTTTGTAGAATACTGCCCAATACATAAAGGTATTATAACTTGCAAAATTTGCACACACATTGGTTTACTAATTATCGCTATCATTTCCAATATCTTTTGGGCAGGTCTATATAAACTGAATTGTACATCACATAGTGACGATTTTATATCAATAATTATTTTGTCAATAAAATCCTTAGAGGCAACTTTGTCAACTGATATAACTTTAACTAAAGATGTTAATGCTTCTAATGCAGCATCTCTTATCTCAATGTCTCTTTCTGGCATAATTTCTTTCTTTAACGTTGTCCATAATTCTAATAAATATGGTTTTACTTTTAACAATCCAAATGTTTGAACACTTTCACATAATAGATTCAAGGAATCAAGTTTAGCAACCCTAAGAGAAGAATATGATTTCTCAATTATGAGTGGTATACAATAATCTGCAAAGTCTGGGACAGCACATAAACAGGGAGCCAATTTTTTTGCTAAATCTTCTCGTGTCACATCCTCCGTACTAGACTGCAAAATATTTATTAATTATATACTTATATGTCAAATATATTACATACGATAAAAAAATCAATTTATAATATAATTACAGGATTAAAATCAACTGGGAAATAACATGCCATAACTTCAAACATTTCTTCGACTAAATGTCCCAATGGAAATTCTTTTATAAAATGTGGCAATATGTTAAACAATAACATGAGATTACTTGGATCTCTTTCACCATCAATAGAACTAATGATACCGTAAACTAAATCTGGTCCCATGGATTTCAAATCGTCTAGTTTGTTTTCTATTAAAATTTTAAATATTAAATATATATTACGACGATCTGTTAATAGCTGAGATTGGCATTGAACATGCTCAAACATAGCTCTTAATAAAGATGATGGTGCACTTGCAGGTAAATAAGTCATATTTATCTAAAACAAAGTTTATGAGTAAAAATTCAATAGAAAAAAAGATTTAAAAAAAAGGAAATAATTTTCAAGGAAATGCTTACAATTGCTAAAATACCATTTAACACAGATGGTATAATATTATAATGATCCTTTATCCTGTCACAATAAAATATTGTAATAAAATACAATTCTGACTCAGTGAGATAATCTTGGGATAGTTGTGACAAAACATAGGATAAAGCTATAACTCCATTTTCTCTCATAACAATATTTTGATTTGTCATATAAGAGCTTAAGGTCTCCACAAATGTGCACAATTTCATAGAACCTGATTCAATTTCTGAAATAAAACATTTTTGTGTCTTGTCTTATAAAATTTGATTAATTTTTTACATTACATATGTATACAGAAAATTTATAAAAGTATAACCTAAAATTATTACTTTTTTACTCAGCAATAAAATTAAGAAAATTAAAAGAAATAAAGTATAAAAACATATTTTAAAGCTAATTCAATTTAAAACTTAATTTTATTCCTATTATTACTTTTCCAAAAAATTATTTTAGCACGAAAAAAATTGTAATGATTGTAAGTAAAACACGTACCAGAAGCTATATTTCCGCATAGTGAATTCAAAGCTGTTGTATCCTGAAGACTAATGTCTAATTCCTTTTTTAAATCAAAATTCGGAGACAAAGTCATTGTCAAAAATACCTTTTTATTTCTTAGTTATAAAAAGCACAAATGCGAATGAATACGAGAATCTAACCTCAAAATACACAAAGGTTAGACATGTGAAGTAGAGTTTGTGTTTATAACATTGGTTATGTTGTCATCTTCTTTTGCCAGGGATTTTTATCTAGAATCTCTTCTACGTTGTCATCTTTCTCAAAGCGACATCTGCTCACAGACCAAGATCTATAGAGAGAAGGTTACCTCAGTCACAGATGTCTATACTAGTACTAGATCGCTAACTTCGTCAAAAGAGCTGAGGCCGGCAGGATTTCCGGTTTCGGCCATGACACCCTACAACAAAGTGGCGACAATGCGTGTGTAATGTGTACAGGCCCTCACACACAAAGGGCGGTATTCATAGTCCGTTCTTATATTCAAGATCGTCTTAAGCACAAACTTATATTCGCTCTCTTCGTCAGACACAATCTATGTGTGACGAAGAGAGCGAATATAAGTCCATGCTTAAAACAATCTTAAATATAAGAACGGACTATGAATACCGGCCAAAATGACATAACTGCATATGCATAGCATAAGACCGTCTCGACCAATGAACATCTAGCATAAAGGTGCCATATTGATTTACATAGCATG